AGCAGACTCACAGACACAGAAAACAAACTTATGGTTACCAAAGAGGAGTAGGGGAGAGGAATAAATTAGAAGTTTGGAATTAGCAGATACAAACTACTACATATAAAAGAGATTAAACAACAGGGTACTACTGTATAGCGCAAGGAAGTATATTCAATACTTGTAATGAAAAAAAAATAGGAAAAAGAATATATATAACTGGATCACTGTGCTATATACCAGAAACTTAACATAACATTGTAAATCAACTATACCTTGATAAAAAATAAAATAAAATAACCACATCAATTGATTAAGAAAAATCATAATCCTCTCAGTAGATGCTGAAAGGCCACCAGATGAAATTCAACACCCATTTATATTCTTAATAAGAGTATATTACTATGCAAAATTAAACATGATGAGTGTCTATTCCAAGTAAAACTGAATTATGCATGCCAAAGATACACTGCATTATTAAATATGTCATATTTTTATGTCATTTTTAGCCAGTGTAATGAAGTATGAAACAGAAATAAGAGAAATAAACAGTGGAAAGGCAAACATAAGAATTTTGTGATATTTTTCAGATTATGTAATTGCATAGCAAGAAAATTAAAAAGAACTAACTCATAGCTATTTCTTAATAAAAGAAAATAGAGTAAACATTAACCCTACAGAAGTCAATATACTTCTGTGAAATCATCAAAATCTAGTTAGACTATACGTAAAATAAACCCATTTCTAGGTAAAAAAATTTAATGACTGATGTGCATGGTGTCTATAAGGAAAACTTTAATTCTTACTGAAAGATAAACATGGAAACTTGAATAAATGAGGAAAACATCATGTTCTTTCTTAGGAAGAATAAAGAGTATAAAAATCTTAATTTTTTCAACTTAACTTATAATTTTGATGCTATTCCAATTAAAATATTATTTTTGGAGGCCTTAAGAATAATAACAAAATTCATAGAGGAACAAAAAAGGAAACATAAAAGATATTTTATCTGATAAGAAAATACATCAGATAATAAATGACATTACTATCAGATAATTAAATACATTACTATGGTTTAAAACAACACCTTTGACTAATGTCCACTTCCCCACACTAATAGAAAACAACG